TCAGTACTTTTCTGTGCACCGTCCGATACAGTCGATTAATACTGTCTACTCCCTTATCTCTTTATTTTTCTCTCAATTAATTAATTACCGTTCTCAGATCTCACGTTACTATCATGAATACAGAATGTGTCAAATGTTCAGAAACTCTAACCCATAATGAAGATACATTAATATGTAATGTTTGCAAAAGTACGGTACATTTCTACTGTACAGGTATCTCTGAAACCAATTTTAAAAAACTATCAAAGTTAAATAAAAGCAAATTTGTTTGTTGTGATTGCAAAATAACGGAATCCAGCGTAACCAAAATTCAACCAACAACCAAGATGGAAACTAAAATTGAAGAACTTATTAGCTCTGTTGAATTTATGGGTAAGCAGTTTGATGTTTTTAATAATAAAGTAGACTCGATGCTCAGCGAAATAAAAATTTTAAAAATAGAAAACGAAAAAATCTCAAACGAAAATAAATATTTATCAAGCGAGGTCTCGTCACTTAAACTCAAAATCGATAATATTGAACAATTCAATCTAAATAAACACATCGATATAACTGGAATACCACAAACCACAAATGAAAATTGTTCTGAAATTGTTAAACAAATTGGACTAAAAACAAATACTACTATCAACGTCATAGAAGCAAAAAGAATATACATCAGCAATTCCCAGAACAGTATCATTGTTGCCAAGCTCGAAACTACTGAGATGAAAAGAACCCTTATACGCAATAGCAAAATTTCCAAACTCTCGGCAAATAATATTCTTAGTACTTGGTCTAATGAAAACAAAGTGTACGTCAATGAAAGACTTACGAAAGACCGTCGAACTCTATTTGGGCAGGCAAGAAGAACTGGAAAAGATAAACAGTTCAAATTCATATGGGTCAACAACGGAGACATTCTCATGAAAAAAGATGAAAGCTCAAAAACAATCCGTATAAGTACACAACAAGACCTAGAAAAAGTGTAACATCAACGTCAACATCAGTATGTTATAACGCATGTATATATATATTTTTAACCTTAATGTGTACATATTCATTAATATTTTCTTTAGCTTATCATCACGAAAAGACCTTTATCTCATATAATTTTATATTGCCGCTTAAATCTAAATTTAATCTTAGTTATATAATCAACGTTATTACACATCCTCTAAGCTTATTATGACATCAACAAATACACTATTTGAAATCTTAGACTCCGATACAACCCCATTACAATGCATTAATGATATAAATACAAACTTATCTAAACATAACGACAGCCTCAATATTCTACACACAAATATTAGAAGTATAAACAAACATATAAACGATTTAGAACATTTATATATCTCTCTAAATGAAAAATGTCATATTATAATTACGTCAGAAGCATGGATAGGTAATGACTTCAACCCGAAATATATTCCATTTTGCAAAGGCTTTACTATTGTATCTACAAAAAACCACGTCCGTAAATCCGATGGTATTATTATATTTATAAAAGAACATATAGTTCACGACACAATCGAATTAATTATCCAAGACACAAATTGTTTATTCTCATTATTAGAACATAATGGCCATAAATATGGCATTTTATCTATCTACAGATCTCCTAATGGCAACATCAACAACTTTCTTATAGAATTCAATAATGTAATTACAAACTTACTCAATACTCACAAAAATACTAAAATAATTATCATAGGTGACCTAAACATAAATATACTTGATACATTACATACTACGGAAAACTATTTAGATATACTAAACACACTGAATTTTACAACACATGTGAATATTGCCACACGCCCCGAATCAAACACCTGTTTAGACCATGTTTTTACAAACATCAATAACTATACTAACTCACAGATTTCCATCCAGGTATCTCTTATCGACTCATTAATAACAGATCACTATCCCGTAATTACTCAAATAATATATATTAATTCCAACACAAAGAACATCAATATAAATGCAGAAACAATTATCTATAGTTCAATTAATTATAATAAGCTAAATGATCTAATTAAACTTACGAAATGGGTCGACGTCATAACTGATAGTAATAATGCAAACACTAATATAAATATATTTACAACTACATTACAAAACTTATTAAAACAATCTACAACTGATAACCAGCGCAAGCCAAAAAAAATCATTAATCCATGGATTCAACCAGGTATATTAAACTCCATTAAAAAACGAGATAAGTTACATAAATTATCCAGAAAAGAACCGTTTAATATATTATTAAAAAGTAAATATAAAAAATACAGAAACAAATTATCCGAGATCATTGCAAAAGCAAAAATTAATTACTTTAGTGAAAAAAATAAAAACGAACATAAATAACCCTAAGAAAATCTGGTCCACTATAAAACAAGCAACTACACAAAATACATCAAATCTATCTAATATTAGATTAAATATAAATAATAGTACATACGATTCTAATACAGATCCACTTCTCCTTGCCAATGAATTTAATAATTATTTTTTAAATATGGGCAACCACAAAGAAAGTAATACAATAAACCAAAATCTAAATATTTCTAATAATCAATCTTACTCGCTATATTTAAGAAAAATGACTAAAACTGAAATATCCAATATAATCTCCAATATGAAAAATGACTCAGCACCCGGTATAGATGGTATATCTATTAATGTTATTAAGAAATTTAACAAATTGATGTCCAATATATTAGAAATAATCTTTAATCAGATACTAAAAGAAGGGCTTATTCCAGATTCATTTAAAAAGGCAGTAGTAGTACCGTTATATAAAGGTAGTGGGCTTAAAACGAGTTTAACTAACTACAGACCAATTAGTTTATTAAATGTATTCTCTAAGATATTTGAAAAAGCAGTTAAAACAAGACTTCTAAATTACTTAGAAGAAAATAATTTATTGCCAAATTCACAATATGGTTTTAGAAATGGTTTAGGTACTGAAGATGCATTAGCACACCTTACAAATGAAATATATAATAACATAGACAAACGTAATAAAACTATCGGTATATTCCTAGACCTAAGCAAAGCCTTTGACCGCATATCTCATTCTATTTTGCTAAATCGACTACACTCCCTTGGCATTACTGGGACAGCTTTTAAAATTTTCGAATCATACTTAAACCAAAGAACCCAACAAACTAGAATAGGTAACACAATAAGTGAAATAGGTCAAATTCATAACGGAGTCCCCCAAGGTACAGTACTTTCCCCAATTCTATACATTATATACGTAGCTGAATTAAGTAATCTTTATATAAATGGAAAAATTTATTCATACGCAGATGACACGGCCATCATAGTCTCTGATTCTAACTGGGATACAGTTTGGCGAAAATGTGAAGCTGATATGTTAGTAATTGATGAATGGTTTTCGAATAATAGTTTAGAAATAAATTATGACAAATCAAAATTTATAGCTTTTACCAATGACATTAAAACTACTCCACTCAAAAACAATCATTATACACAATCAATTTAATTGCAACACTATAACATGCACCTGTCCAAAATTAATTAAACACCCTTTCATTAAATACCTTGGCATAACAATAGATCAACACTTAAAATGGAATAATCATATAGAATACATAATAGTTAAACTAAGACAACTAACATACTTTTTCATTATAGCAAAAAAAATACTAAACAAACAGCTAATTAGAATAACTTATTTTGCAATGGCTCAATCACTAATTCAATATGGCATAATAGCTTGGGGTGGTTGCAATACCACTTTAAAATACAACTTATCAATAAGACAAAAGAACCTAATTAAAATAATTCTAAATAAACAGAAAACCTTTCCTTCATCTGAATTATATAAAATGTTAAGAGTACTTGATATTGACAATCTATATAAAAAGCAAGCAATTTGCTTCATTTTCAAAAATAATTTATTTAATATTAAAAATCTAACATACAACTTCAGAAAAATTAATCTTGAAATACCTTTCATTGTTACTAAAAAAGCTTCAATGTCATTCTTACAAATTGGATTACGGTCTTTAAATGAGATTCCTAAAGAATTATTAATTATTTCAAATTATTCATATTTTAAATATAAATTAAAAAATTGGTTTTACAATAATCTTTAAATATCTAGCATTAAATTTTCTTTTTTACTATTTTATTAATTATTATTATTTGTTTTATATAAGGCTCTTACTATCTTTCATTATTATCACGGCTACTAATTAAAAAAAAAAAAAAAAACAAAAAAAAAAAATGTACTCTTACTCTACGACACGAGGTTTCACCTCAGTGTAGAGTAATGCCTAGTTAATATCTATCTTTGCTATATCACATATTTGTCTTGTAACTAGAAATGAATAAATAAAAAAAAATAAAAAAAAAAATAAAAAATCTAACCATTCATGAATTGTTTGAAGTGAAGTACCATTTGGAATATCTGGCATTTTTGTAATAATTTTCCTTCTGTGCACAAATCATCTTCACATATATCAAATTGTTTTTTTAAACATTTATATTATATATTTTCACCAGTTTTTAATTTCACCATATTTCTAATTGAATTGATAATTTGTAATGATTCTTGGTTAAATCTAGAATTAATACCATTTATTAGTTTATCTAATGTTGTGTAAAATACTGTCACTTTCATTTCATCTTTATTTATGAACATTTTTGCATTAAAAAAAAAATTAGTGCATATTTTTAAAGCATATTTGTACTTTTTTAAGTGCATAAGTGCATGAATATTTAGTACATATTAAGTACATTAAATTCCGAGCCCTAATAATAATATAATACATACTGTCTATTATATAATTTAATATTCATCAGTTATTATTTATTGAACCTTATGAAAATATTTCATATCTAATAAAAAATTGCGAAAATGTGTAATCAAAATTTGATACCATCACCATAAGATATAATGGTATCACACATTTTCAAAGCACACTGTCTGGTAAAATACACGTCACAGTGTAGTGTGAACCAGGCTATACAGTAAGTAATAAATTTTATTATTAATAGTAGTAATAAAGTTTATTTACAAAATATTAAGGACCCATCTGAAGTTAGTCACGTCAATCCGGTAAAATGAATATTCTCTGATAAGGCAATATACAATACAATGTAAGTCATTTGTACGAAAAACAATACGTAAACAAGCGTACTATAGTATATTTATAGTAGTATATTTTAATGTTTAATCCGTAAGTAAAATCGTTGATATAATATAAAATTAATACAAAAATCCTAATTGATAACAAACAACGTATTCTATGCAATCAAGGACTATATGCCAATTCCAAGTGACAGTACCATGGGTAACATTTGACGCTGTTTTAAGGATAATCGGTTTAAAATATCTTCATTACAATCATTAAATACGTTTAAAAAATATCATGAGCATTACCTTACTTTACTCCACTGTGTGTTGTGTAATGATATACAATAAAAAAAATGTGGCAGCTGAAATGTCAGATACAGCACAGGCTGCAGAGGCTGCACCCGTAAGACCGCATATGTTTTGAGCCTACATCAATCTTCTACTAACATCCTCTATCACATCAAAACCAACTCTTCACAATTTAGAAGCGATTCCAAACTCTAACGTTGACCCAATGAATATTGAACTACCATCAGGCACTAAAAGATCTTTACCAGACTCATTTCTAACTCACTCTCCGCATCCAACCCCATTAGAACCGAATGGAAACTCAAATGCGATGCCTGCTCCACAAAACCTAGTGACCCCCCAAAACGAAATTACCGAAAAAAAAAAGAAAACGAATAAGAAATTAAAATCAGCGGCACTAACAACATTTTTAGAAAATATCGACACATATCTAGAATCAGCAAAAAAAACTCTTCACCGATCAAAATAATTTTAAAATCAACTTTATTACCTTTAAACACATTTTTGAAAATAATCAAGGCCGCTTCGAACCACCTACAATTTACAATGAATACAACATATTAAAAGAAG